TAGGTATGAATTTGCGAGAGTTTCTTTCAAATACAAATTCAATACGTGATACTATCCCAGCTGAAGCATGCGCCAAATCTTCCGACCAGAAAATTCTGGGAATCACCTGGAACGCTGAAAAAGATGAACTGAGTATACAATGCAAAATGCTTCCGAGTTCAATAGTCACAAAACGGATTGTGGCTAGGCAGATAGCTTCAATTTATGATCCATTCGGGTGGCTGATTCCCCTGATCACTCAAGCAAAACATTTCCAGCAACAACTATGGAAACAGCGCTATTCCTGGAATCAGACATTACCAGAAAACCTAGCGCAACAATGGAACACTATTACCACAAGCGCAAATGGTTTTGAAAAACGGATACCAAGAAAGTTTCTTTCGAATATGTACGATAGCAAATTAGCAATTTTTGCCGATGTCAGCGAAATTGCAATGACAGCATGCGCCTATCTGTTCGATGGTAAAGACACAACTTTGGTTATGGCGAAATGCAAACTTCCCTCAATTCAATCCGCCATAACAATGCCAAAGCTAGAAATGAATGCGCTAACTATTGCAGCGAGGCTTACTTGGTCAGTTTATACATCGCTAAAGCAAAACGCGGTAGATATCCATTTGAAAGAAATCTTTTTATTTTCTGATTCCCAAATTGTGCTGAGCTGGCTATCAAGTGCACCAAGTGATACGAATGCAGGAGTACTCGTCAGGAATAGACAACGAGAGATTCAGAAGATTGTCCTTGCGCTAAAGAAAGAAGGTGTCGCTATCACGTTTAATTACGTCGCCACTAAAGACAACCCTGCAGACGCAGGAACTAGGGGCGTAACTAAAGCACAGTTCGCGCAACATACTTGGTGGGATGGTCCAAGTTTCCTGCGGCAAAAAGAAAGCACATGGTCAACCACCGAGTATAAAATATTTCTAAACGAAGCCGCAGAAGAAATTTTGGAAATGAACACATGCCTAAGCCAACACAACGAATCTCATCAAATCGAGCTTCTAGATTTGAGGAGATTCAGTTCTTTTGAAAAGGCCAAGCGAGTTGTTGCCTATGTTTTAATCTTTTTGTGTAAAACCATGCGCAGATTCGATTCCGAACGAAAAAATGAGATTGTAACTGATATACCAGAACTAAAAAATGTATCGACTAACTTGCGAGTTGACGGATATACTATGAAAGCAGCACGCCTAGCTATCATACGAAATCATCAGATGCTTCTAACTCCATCCATTCGCAAACCAGTAGAAAACTCCTTAAGACTCTATAAAGATAGTACAAAAATCTGGCGCACCCTAGGTCGAATTGGGAAATCATCTCTAGAAGAAGACAAAAAACCCTATCTATATAATCCCAAAAACCACTCTAGCAAAACTCATAATTCGCGAAGCGCATGGAATCTACCATAGAGGAATTGAGCATACGATGGCTACAGTGCGAACGCAGTACTGGATTCCAAAATTACGCCAACAGGTTCGCAAAGAAATTACGCACTGTACTGAATGCAAAAGATTTAACGGCTCACCATTTCCATATCCATTTACAACAGACCTTCCCGAAAGAAGAGTGCAAAAAAGCCGTCCCTTCCAACACATAGGGTTAGATTTTTTCGATCTCCCCTTATGCAACGAAAATAGCGAAGAACGAAAAACCTACGGATGCATTTTCACTTGCGCAGTAACACGACTCATGCATCTTGAACTAGTGCGCAGTATGGCAATTGGAGATTTTTTAAATGCTCTAAAACGATTTATTGCAAGAAGAGGCGTACCGTCCTCAATAACATGTGATAATGCGCCCACTTTTCTTCTGAGCGAAAATCTCCTAGATAGCGAAAGCACTTATGTCAATGACCAAATCATGCAAGCGCTATCGCGCCAAGAAATTCAGTGGTATCACATAACACCATATGCCCCCTGGCAAGGAGACTTTTATGAAAGGTTGATTAAATCAATCAAACATGCGCTATACAAAGCACTGCGCTGCAATCCAAAGCCTTCCATAGACCAAATGGCTACCTTCCTGGCTGAAATAGAAGCTTGCTTAAATTCACGACCATTGACATATCAGAGTTCTGATCAAGAAAACTTTAGCTCAATACGGCCAATTGACTTCTTGGAAAAAGACATAATTCTTTTATTTCCACAAAATGATCTCTCAGCGCAAAATCAGGATCCAGATTACCTCTTGCCTCAAGAAATTCACTCGTTGGAAACTCGCAGAGAGGCAGAAGAAGCACTGCGTCTTTCAAATAAACGCACAGAACGATTCTGGAATATATGGAGGAAACAATACCTCACTAGCTTGCGCGAAAAGCATAAAAAATGCGTAGGATCAAAACGCGCTAGTCAAAACACTCCGGGACTAGGAGAAGTTGTACTGCTCACAGATCCAGTTTTACCGCGTAATAGCTGGAAGTTAGCGCGAATAACCAAATTACTGCCTAGTTCCGATGGACAGATAAGAGAAGCTGAACTTGTAACAGCTTCTAAACGAAAAATTCACAGACCAGTTAACTTACTAATACCGCTTGAAATCGATGATTTAGAAACTTCTACACAAGATAAAGAAGAGCGCCAGGATAATCAAGAAACTGCAAAACCTCAGCGCCCATCCACCGACAGATACAATTTGAGGCCAAGACGTCAGGTACGCTACGAGGAAGCCGTCATGATAACAACTTCTTCATGTCAACCAAAATTACCTAGAGCGCAATGGTTTTTGTTCCATATCATGATTTTATCACTGATACAAACTATCTCAGCAATTTCCTCAAAAACAAAAATCTCATGCGCAAAAGATGGAGTTTTTGCAACATTTCCAAAAAACAAGAGTTTTGAAATTTGCGCGGAAGATCATTGTAAAATCCTCAACGGTGAAAACCAGCCACAAAGAGTCAAATTTCCTCCCGAAGTCATTTTACATGACTTTCACATAACCATAAAATGGAACGAAAACGGGCGCCTATCAGTCATAGAAACCAATTGCAAAGCGCTTGATTTCTGTGTGAATATCGATTGCTTATTTTGCTCTACACTTCTCTTTAACCCCGAATGTTGGCCTAGAGGAGCAATTGCGCTCATGGCAATCTTGATATACACCGTCACTGCGCTAGTATACCTTATCATAAAAATCACTGCAACGCTGACAAAACCCCTCAAATTCCTTCTCGTAGGATTTCAATTCCTTTTGGCGCTGATTCTCCGGAGCATACTCAAAGGCATATCTTGGGTGGCAGATAAAAGACCCAAAGGTCGGACTACAAGGGCAGCAAAAATTGCAGCTGCGCTAGCCATCATTACCATATTGAGCAAGCATGACCGCTTTGTACACTCGTGCCAAGAAATAGATGTTTTAGAATACCACTCCACAACTTGCACCACAACGTCAGGGAAAGAAATATGCAAAGTAACTCTATCCGAAATTTTGAAAATAAATGCTTTCAAACAAGAGGCATGTTTGCGCCTAATACGAAATTCCAGCTCAATCGGAAACATAAAAATCAAATGGCGAGGTTTGCGACTTACATGCGAAAAGGAAACCATGTTTTTCACTCGCATAAGCGAACTAAAAATGGTAGACAGCAAAAGATGCGCCCATATGGGCTCATGCATCGGCGATAAATGCGCGTCAATAAACAGCTCAACCTTACTACCAGAACTGCAGCAAGGTAATTCTTACCCTGGTCGCACAGGCTGCTTAGAATCATGTGGTGGAATAGGTTGCGACTGCTTTTATCCAAGCTCCGGCTGTCTGTTTTATCGCGTATACGCTGTACCGGAAAGTCCTGAGATTTTTGAAGTTTTTCGTTGCGCTCATTGGAAAGAGGGAGTCAAATTGGACGTGATTATTGAAGATTTGAAGCTTAGAGAAGGAAAAAAACAATATACCATAACAGCGATTCCAAACGTTCCTACAAAGCTTTCCTCATTACAGATAACTATGACAATGATGACTATCCCTCCAACCCCGCTCATTTTCTATCAATTCATAAATAACGGCATTGATACAGTGTGGTGGACAAATCGCATTAAACCAAATTTGTTTTGCGAAACTAAAGAAAAAGCACGGAAATTGAACTGCTCCTATGAAGACGACTGCAGATGTTTTGCAGCAGAGAACAGCGTCAATTGTCAATGTACGCAATCAAAACTGCAAGAAGAATTTGACCGAGTAGAACTAAAATTGCCGCTCAAAACACCTTCTTGGGAGCTGACTAAACAAAGTGATCAACTGATAGCGCACATATCCAATATGGTTTCAGCCGAATTCATAATAAATTTTGATAAAACCGTCGAAACCACTATCTTGCAAACTGAAGATGAAAATTGTTCGGTAGAAAACGCTTATCTGAAAGGCTGCTATAATTGCGCGAAAGGTGCGGAAGCAAAAGTCTACTGCAAATCAAGGAAAAACTTGATCGGAGAAATACTATGCGGAAAAAATGCTTTCGCAGTGCCATGCGCATCATCAGCGCCGCGATCAAAATTACGCTTTCATCTCGACAGTGCAAGGCAAAATATCGATTGTACCTTGAAGTGTGGAAGGAAAACGCATAAGTTCATGATTTCTGGAATTTTGAAAAATACCGGTACCTTCCAAGAAAGCCTTTTCAATAAACTGCAGGGAAATCACACAATATACAACGAGATTCCGTGGCCAGACTTCAAACACATAACCAATCTTGTTTTGAGCTGGTACAAAACGCTAGCAGTTGCTCTTGTATGCGTGTTAGCTGCTTTACTTTCGACGTATTTTTGCCTTCAGACATTAGGAATGCGCGTACTCTGGCTAATTTTGAAAATTGCACGGGCTAGCATATGCTTTCCTGCGCGCATATGCTGTTGGGTTACATGTAAAGTTTATGAAAAACATAAAAACGAAAGTGACTACAAACATAAGAAAACTTTTTAACCTTATCAATGCCGTATGCGCCTGCGCCAATAAAAAAAAGAAAAAAAAACAAAACAAAAAATAACCCTCACTATCTTTTCCAGGCAATGGAATCAGAAGACGTGCAAAGTTTGAAGCAACAACTTCTTGCGCTAAGAAATGCTATTCCAAAACTACCAGCGCCAGCAGATTTACGCGATAACATATTCAAATACTGTCACGACGTAGATCACACGATGAAAAAAGTAGACGAACTGCAAAGCAGCATCGATGTAGTACGCAATTCCAAGATGAATTTGGAAAAGAAAGAAAACAAACTGCACTACTACGAACTAATGTGCGAGAAACTGCGCATCGAATTCCTACTACTTCGCACTCAACTGCGCACATTATACACAGTACCGCAACTTTTGTTCGCAACGACGACAACAACGCCAGCGATTTGGGAAACATTGATGGAATGGCCTGATGAAAACGAAGACGGAAAGGAACTTGTCGTAAACCAAAAAGAAGTCGAAATGATGATCGAAGACCAGATAAACTGCCTCGAAAACTTCAAAACAAAGCTGCACCATCTCATCGAAGAGATCTGGCAACAAAATGATCAAAAAGAAGCGCAAAAAGAAAAAGAAGAAGAAACAATCCTTCAAGCCATAAAAAACATGGAAAAAATTCTGAAAGATTTGCAAGAAAAGTTCAAAAACAACCAAGAAGAATCAGGAAGTGTTCGAGAGCGCAGAAAATCAACAACCAGTGAGTCATCAAACGAAGACAACGAGATCGCCCGAGCTGATAGCGAAGCCGAAAGGGAGCCGGAGCAACACGAGGAGGGGAGGCCTGCGGATCAAGAACCAGTGAGAGAAGACGAACAAAACGAACAACAAAGAGTTGCAGAAGAAGAAGCAATACGAGAAAATGAAGAGTTCGTGGAACTGTGGAATGGACATGGAAGAGGTCCCAATGGACATCGAAGAGCGCATCGGAAGATTGCAACTGGAGTACGATCGTAATGCTCAAGCCATCCTGGATCTGAATCTGCTAATAGAAGAGTTGGAAAACGAACGGACCTGTCGGCCACGCTCATTCTACAGAGGCGAAGTCAAAAGCATTGAGCGCAATATGCGTTGCGCTTTTTGTGAAGCCATTGGCTCACACTACTCGGATTCTTGTTGGGAAGTGGCAACGGCGCGCGAGAGACGACAACTGCTTGCCGACAAGAAAAAATGCGAATTGTGCCTGGAAATCATCTGCTGTGGAGGAAAGCTGTGTCGGAAATATGGGCAACCATGTTTTCACTGTCACCGCACAGGGCATCATTCAGCTCTATGCAGCCTCCCTGAAGAAAGCCAGATCATCATGCAAAGACTGCGAAGAGCGAGGGATGCGAAGGAGCATCACAGGCGCCGCGCTGAAGAGCTCGAACACGAAATCAATGAACTCAGAAGAGCACTTCCCTAGGGCGGCCGGGAATATCGCTGCAACGCTGCGATCCCTCGAGGTTGTTACGTTTTCTATGGTTACTGTAACGCCGCGGCAACGCGGAGAACGTTATCTCATGACAGATATTTATTTGCAGCTTCAACTTCTCAAAATATATGGTTATCGTGCAACACATCGGATATAAGAAGCCGCGGTCGAGCGCGCAGGGGCAGAATACTTTCATTTTTTCCTTTTCAATCACGTTGATGTCTTTGTTCTTACCTTATTTTGATTACAACTCGTTTCAACCATTTTTTGAGGCAAAAAGGCTGGCTGTGATTATCCACCGCGCATGCACTTTTCTATTTTTGCGCCAGAGAAAAAAGAGTTCTTGCAATTTTTCGAATATTCACTTTCATCGCGCCAAAAACATTTAACAAAATTGCGCCTATTTACATTCGTACAATAAAAATGGTTTATTTCTTATTTTTGCGCATTATTGTTTTGATGTATCAGACTTTCGGTTTAATTACCCAAGTTTGAGGAATAAACTCTGCGCCCGATCGTGTTGTTGGTCTTACTGACGTTTGGTTGGTCATTACCGCGTGGCAGCGAACATATGATGCAAAGAGCATGAGTTTCTATCTTAAGCAAAATTTTTTCGTACATATTCGTTATGAATTTGAAGAGTTATGAATTTTTGAAAATGGTGCAAACGAACTTTTGGTACAACCTAATACAACGTCGGCTTATACTTGCAAAAAACTACTTCCGCTTAAATATGCACAGTCTGCTCTCTGCTGAGTTACTAGCGTCACGTAGAGCAATTTTTTGCAAAGTGATCGAAAAGAATAAAGTTTGTATATTCCTTTCTCAATAAATATGAAGCAATTCTTGAAGTAAAATGACGTACAATATATAAAATTGTAATTAAATAAATACATGGAAAATATGAAAATGTCGTTAAACAAGTACTAGTCTTCATTTTGCAATTATCTGCCGCTTCATCAGCCACAACAAGCTTTTCCTACTGAGATGGAAGGAAAGTAACTGCTACACGGCCGCTAAACATCAACACAGCAAAGTTATGATAAACAGCATAAATCTGAGTGTTAACGAATTTGAGGCATGCAGAATTTTTTCTGAGCAACTGAGTTGCGATTTCCAAATCAAACCAAAAACCGCTCAAAATTAACAGTTCGCTGAGTAAAGTCTCAAGATATTACAATCGAAATGGACGTAGACAAAGCAAGATACGGAAGCAAAACGTCTTTTAAAAAGTTGGTAGCTAAGCGAAACGATCAGCTGTTAGAATCGATCGGCTGGAATGCATTGAGACTACTGATGTTCGTTCTGAACATATATCAAAATTGGAACAATGCAGCTAAGATTAGCATGGCACCTGCGCAAGGACGACACGTAAATTCGCGATTCCAAAAGATTTCTGCATCTCAACATTCATCCCTTTTTCCTACGAGAGGCACGAAAAGAGGCGTCTACAGTACAACAACACCCTCCCCCCCCCCCCCGACTTCTCCCGCTGCCGCTGATGATCTCTTGAAGGATGAGGATTTTCCACTACATGCTAGAACTGTGCTATGTGAATCCCATAAGCAAATGAATGAAAATGTGAAATGTGAATCTACTGTGAATACCACAAGCATTCGAGGCGGTCAACGATCGGAATCGTGAGTTGTTGAAGAACGATTCATCGGAGCAACTGATTTTTCTGAGATCCAAGACCGAAAGGCTTAGATCACTTGTTGATAACACTAATATGCGTGACCCTATACCCTGAATTCCGATGTCAGCCATAATTTTCCTGTATTAAACATACAGTGACCGCCAAAAAGTTGCGGACAAACCCCTCTCCTTTTTTCACCACTCCTTTTCAGAGGGAAAACAAGGATGAAAAAATGTACTAATTGCGTGAGGTGATAAAGCTCTTCAAGATCTACAATCTACACTTTGAGTTTTTTGATAAACATGTGTTCTAAGAATTTTAAGAATCTTTTTCTTAAAAAAGTCCGAAAATGGCTGCGTCACAATGTCGCGGACAATAATTCTTCGAACGCAAAAATTTTCTTTTGAGTCCTATTTTAAAGCGGAAATACAAGTTATCCTGACGGGAAAACAGACTACTATACGGAGCTCGTCAAGAGCTACACACCGGTTATGGTTGCTTCCCCAAAAAACGCAAGCTTGAGTTTTAGAGTCATTTTACTTTTTTTCGAAAAAATTTCTTTCAAAAAAATTTTCTAATTTCCTTCATCAAGCCAAATTTCTTCACCCGGAAACCTGTTCAAGACATCCCAACAAAGCCGTCTGGATGAAACAGATGCTCTTTGCCATTCTCTATGCATCGGACGTGCCCTGGTAAGTTTCTTGGCTGAAAATGGCTCTTGGCAGTGCTTGCATATGACCCCACCTGCACCTCACCACTGACTTGCATCGCTTTGCAGGCTTGTAACTCGGCTTGTAGTCAATATGTGAGCCTGTGATTAGGCTGATTCGAAAGGACGAGACTTCCTCTACACGGTGGTATGCAAAAGATTTGAGTTTGAATAATTCCGGAGATTTGACGGATGGGGTGAAAAAGTGTAGCCTTAGAGGTGATTGGTGTGAAAGCTCTTATGAACACCAGAACAGTCTTAGAGCTTCGAAATGGATCTATTACAAGAAAATTGACAGTTTTGAACTTCCAGGATGAAATTGGTAGCGAAAGGAGCTCTCTACAACTTTAGCTGAAAAGTGCTTGGAGTACAGCTAAAGCTGCCCTCTACCACCCCATCCGTCAAATCTCTGAAATTTCTCAAACTCAACTCATTTGCATATCATCGTATAGAGAAAATCTCATTCTTTCGAATGAGCCTAATTGCAGGCTCAAATATTGACTGCAGGCCGAGTTACAAGCCTGCAAAGCGGTACAAGTCAGTGGTGAGGTGCAGGTGGGGTCATATGCAAGCACTGCCAAGAGCCATTTTCAGCCAAGAAACTTATAGGTTGTCCGCGCTGCGCGCGAAGAGCAACGCTGTTGCGTCCAGTCAAGATAGTTGAGCGCAGAGAAAAACAGGCGGCGAGAGTGCACGGGTAAAGAGGAGTGACGCGCAATACATACCTTGCGCACTCTCCGCGCCCTGCGCGGACGGCCTATACCAGCACACGTCCGATGCATAGAGGATGGCAAAGAGCATCTATTTTATCCAGACGGCTTTGTTGGGATGTCTTGAACAGGTTTCCGTGTGAAGAAATATGGCTTGATAAAGGAAATTCGAAGTTGTTTTTTGAAAAAAACTAAAATAAAACACAAACTTGCGTTTTCTGGGGAAGCAACCATAACCAGTGTGTAGTTCTTGACGAGCTCTGTATAGTAGTATGCTTACCTGTCCGGATAACTTGTGTTTCTGCTTTAAAATAGGACTCAAAGGAAAATTTTTGCGTTCGAAGAATTATTGTCCGCGACAATGTCTCAGATAATCGCCGGGGGCAGGCGCTCAGATAATCGCCGGGGGCAGGCGGTCCGCAAACTCGCGCTTTTCTGCAGGCGGTCAGCAGAATTTTGGGGCGTGGCCAAACTTTCAGCGGGCGGCACTTCCTTTACGGTCGCATATTCTGCCAGCGGGCAGCAATACAGCATTTTTTGCAAGCGCTCGGCAAATAATTTCTTTCAGCGAGCGCTGGCCAAACTTTCAGCAAGCGCTCGGATTCTTTTTAGGCATTTTCGGGCGTACGTCGAGCGCAGGTAAGACTCTGTATGGCAAAAGTGTCACCGTTGGTTTAATTACTCAAGTTTGAGGTACTTTCTCTTAGCGGAAAGTACCTGGGGGTTGCGCGGTACTCCACAAAGGACTGTGCGGCCCCCGAAATTTTTGCATATTCTCGCGGAAAGTCCGCGAGAATGCGGCCACTGCGCCGCAGCTAATCTATAAAGAAACCGCGGTTGTTCTTCGCATTCGTCTTTGATTTCGCCAACTTTCTTCCAAATTTCTGCAAGCGAACGGCAAAAAATCAATAAACTATTTTTCCGGTGCGCGCTTGCTCAAAATTCGCATGGCCGCCTGCCCGCGGCGGTTATCTGAGGTGACGCGGCCATTTTCGGACTTTTTTTAAAAAAAGGTTCTTAAGATTTTTAGAGCACATGTTTCTCAAAAAACTTAAAGTGTAGATTGCAGATCTTGAAGAGCTCTATTACCTCATGCAATTATTACATTTTTTCATCCTTGTTTTCTCTCTGAAAAAGAGCGATGAAAAAGGGAGGGAGGCTTGTCCGCAACTTTTTGGCGGTCACTGTATCTTGGACTACCTTGGTGTAGGCTGCAGACCTGTCGCAATTTATCGAATGGGAGGCCCAACAGCACACGCAATCGACTCTTGAAAGTCATTTTATCTGCCTCATACTTTGTAAAGCTGGCGCTCCGGTTAGCGGCCCAAACAGGGTTAAGCGTGTTGATGCGATCCTGGACCCCCATTTACGACCCCCCCCCCCTTAAAGGTACCCATCCGTACGATTCCCTTTCCCCCCCCCCCCTCCTCCCCTTCTCCCCTCCTCCCATCTATCTCCCTTACCTCCCCTGCCCACATTTCTCGCGATAACCTGCATAAACGAATGTCAATATCGAAAAACACCTGCGTGAGAATTCAGTAAGGTTTCAGAAGCAGAATGTCTGGGCCAATGGGTGCGCTTAGCATCTGCAGCACACAGACACACCTTCAACAATGTTTGAGATTCTGCAAGTTTTTTTTTTCGGAATTTTCAGGCATACTTCAGGCCAGCAAATTCGATTCCCGTATGCGACACAAAATTTTTACACGGAGAACAAAATGACATTTTTGATCTACGAAAGATGTTTTCGACTAAGAAGCTCAGTTTCTACCTCTTCCACAGTTTTTCCCGCGAAAAAAAAACCGCTTTAGTGCAGTCCAGAACGATGTCAAAAACGTGCATGAGCACGGTAGTTTGAAAATTCGTAACTAAAGGCAGGAAAAGACTGAGAGCTGCAATGAACGGGCTTTGTAGTATAGTGCCCAGACTACCCATA